CTCTAAATCTCCTCTGGTCTCAGGATCATGGGGCCTACTTGATGGAGCAGCTCAGGCTCTCAGATCCAGATTCATTTCGGATCAAATAGCAGCTCCACTGTTTATTAGTTACCCATGGGACCTTGGACCGTGAGTGTAAGAGGGGACAACTTTGAACTCTTTTTCCCTCACATTAAAAATAAAATCTTTTCATCATTTCTTAAAATTCTTGTGTTTTTAAAGTAAAAAAATAAAAGCAAAAACTAAAAATAAAGGAATGAAATCTTTTCCAAGGTGGGAAGGGCAGAGCCAGGAGTGGACCAGAGGGAGAGGGGAGGTGAAGGGGAGAGACTAGGAAATTGCAGACAGAATAGAGAAGAATAAAAATAAAAATGAAAGTTTAAAGTGAAATTTGGGCATTGGGGATGTGACTCAATGACAGAGAATTTACCTAATATTCACAAAGTCTGAAATTTGATCCCCATCACTATCAAATAAAACTAAAAGAAAGATCTAAATAATATTCCTAATTCCATGAGCATTAAAGTAAACAAGACTCAAATATTGGGAGCCAGAAAAGTTAATTGTTTCTCCATAGACTGATGGTGCCTATTGTGGGCAAATGGACCACTATGAAGAATTCTGGAAGATATTATCACTCTCTGAGTCACCAAATGCTGGTATTGCCTGGTCCTTCTCCCTGAAGTCCTTCTAATTAACAAATAGTCCTTCTTGGTTTTGCTCATAGATGTTGCCCCAAAGTCCCTGTGTTCAGGGTTATTTTCCTACTATCATCACACCCAGAAGATTGTAACATGACTTTCTCAGCTTGCATGCATTTTGGTTTCATTTGTAAATTGAACTGGCAAGTATCTACCATATTAATCATCATAGAATACTAGGTAAATAGGACCCCTATTATCTACTTTGCCACTAAGAGAGACAAGATACTTCCAAACAACCCGTGGCCATCTAACACACAATGAGAAAATTATGGTTAATGATACTCTGCCATATCTAAAGCTTTTACTAAAAGTGCAGTTTAGGTACTCTCAATACAATATACTCTGAATAGGGAATTATGTAAGATGATGGTATGCTAACTTTGTAACTTCAAAACCATCTCACTCTCTATTATGTATGTTAAAATGTCATGTTGCATGCCTTAAACATAGACAATAATTTTTATTCTGAAAATGCTTAAGAAACAGGTCCAATGTTTTCAATCTCTTGGAACTTTTATTTTTATAGTTATATCAAAAGTTAATTCAGACTCAGTTGGTACACACAAATCAATGTCAAATTCCTACAAAGGGGAAAGGTTAGAAGTGAATTGAACTGGCTGAGATCTTTGTAGACCTGCATACTCGTATGTGCTCTTCAAATAAAAATCATGAAGCAGGTATTTTTCTGAACAAAGTCACACTTTATGCCAATGACACAGCATTTTTCTTAAAAAATTATTGGAAGAACTGAAAGATGTGTTTGTTAGATATCTGATTGGTCTTTGAATTGTAGTGATAGACCACAACTGATACTTACTTTAAAATGCTGCCAAATTTGTCCTATTCACCACACCTTTCTCTACAATCATTTGACTCTTGGGCAGTAAAGCAGCCAGTTATTTCCTCTAGGTTGCAGGCACCCATTCAATGAGTTTTGACATGGATGCATGAAAAGACAAAGTCAAGCTTTATCACAATGATATACAGCCAATAGCAACTATCAGATGATAACCCATACTAATTTTGAGCTACTGAGTAGAAATGCACACCTTGAAATTGAAGAATTCTACTGCCATCCCACCTGGAGGGCAGGCAGAGAGCCTTCTCTCTCCTGCCATCCTTTTGTTCCATTCTGACCTTCAACTGGTTGGATGGAGTCCACACAAAAGGTTTAGGGCCTAATGTTCTAACCAGTCCACCCAGCCAGTGCCAATCTCATGCAGATACTCCTAGGATACTACTTACCCAAATGAAGCTGAACATGCCAAGGGTCAAAGTGTTCTTCATTCCCTTGGGGCTCAATATCAGGGTTATTAGAAAATGATTCTTGGTTTTCTCTATATTAAATGCTCTCTAAAATATACACTATTGACAATACAGATCTCCAGAACATTGCATCATATCTTCAGTTTTCAGTTCCATCTCTCTCAGAAGCACATTCTCTGTTCTCTATCCTCTGTCTCTCTCTCTGTATCTATCTACCTATCTATCTATCTATCTATCTATCTGTCTATCTATCTCATCTATTTGTATTTCTTTTTTAAGCTACTGAATCTGATAAATTAGGGCTATTAAGAGACTGTTTGTTATTCTGTCTCAGGTTACTATTTTGAAGGCTTAAATGCTCATAAATATGTGGATGCTCAGACTGTAAATGGATTCACTTTAGTCAGTGGAAATTTCTTTTTCTCTAATACGCCTTTATAAAGCGTCCTGCTGAAATTCTGCACAATACCTCTCCATGGTCTTCTCACCATCCCTCCCATTTTTATCTGATAAAAGCAGATCCATCATGAAAGTGCTTCCTGTTCTCTACACCATAAATAACAGCCTGAGAAGGGGAACATCTCCCAGAGCACAGCAGTGTCAAGTTTATCCAATTTGGGGATTTATTATTAAGCCTTCTTGGGACCTGAGCCAAGAGAACCTGCATGCCTGTCAGTGATCTCATGGCCTCTCCTGGATTTGGACAAATGCACTCAAAGTCTAGCATGAGAGAATTCTGCATGTGACTTCAGCTCTCCTTATTGGCTAGAGGATTGACTGGAACGGTTGTTACACAATGGTGACTTTCTTCAGTACATTGCAGATTACACCTCTGGTCCCAGTTTAATTACTGGGGATGACCTCTTTTACTCTAGAAGTGCCCTGGTTTGTATGATAAACTATGTGGTCTTTGCAGAGGTAACCTCAGAGACACCGTACTCCATACCGCCTTTCATTTGTTTCCATTCCCCACAAGATATTCATTTGGATAACTGAGACTCCTTTCCCACCCATCAACTGCTCATACTAGTCAGGGGCAACATTTCCAACATGGACTGAGAGGAGGTGAGGAGAGGAAGAAACAAAGATGATTTCTTTGAAAAGAAAATTTCTAGAAACATGAGTTTACTGCACACCATGGGCAAGGCACTGTACAACTTTCATAAGTAAATCAATCCATAAATAAGAGATACCATGCATTCATTCTTATAACAATATCACTAAGAAATAGAATTCTGTACCTTCTCTACCTGCACATTGACAAGGGTCAAATTCTTACAATAATTTACAATAAATGGTGTGTGTATGGGGGGGGCAATCCCTAATGTCTCCTATAGATTCTGCAATTCTATCTAGGAGCCATATCTCCAAGGTTTTTGAGAACTCAGGCTGGAAGTCCAGAGGTGTTAACTGGCATTGATATTCCTGAATTCATATTTCTAACCTAATGAGTCTTCCGGACACTGGTGAATCTTATTTCCAGTTTTAAAGAAAGCACTGACTATCCTTGGAGACATGGAGGGATCCAGCTGTCCCACATATTGTCCCAGTTCAGCCTGAAGCCTCTACTTCCAGTTTTAAGTGTAGGCATCTGCGTTCACATTGTAAAATGAACTGACTTGAGGACTTCAAATCCAAGACTCTTCATCATTTCCTTCACTATCCGAGATTCTCTGTGGCCAACAACTGATTGACATCTGTGGAGCTTCTCTGGTCACTTCCTCCCTTCAGTACACAAAGATGCCACATGGTGGAATGAACACAGAAGTCATAAACAGACCCAGTTTAAAGTCTAATTTTTGATAATTTTTGTTGTGTGACTTACAGTAAGTTACTGAATCTCTCTGAGTCTTGAGTTACCTCCCTTGAAATGTGATTTTATGTACAAGGCCAACAATTCTATGCTTGTATCCTTTCATATACATTTAGAAATTTCTTCTTAACACTTGGCTAACATCACACTTCTGATACACTCTGTCATGAACTAATCACACTCAATTGCTCTCAACTTATCATGACTTCAAACTAGATTAAAGTATGAATATAAACATAGGTATTACTTTTCTCGGTATAACAAATGCTTCTAATAAATCAAGAAAAACATATAACCTTATGAAAGTGGTAGTAGATAGTAACAGGCAAGTTGCCTGAGCAGGATTTTGAGGGCAGAAGAAATAAGAATGAGCAGGAGATAACCAGACTTTCAGGAGCCTATGAGCTGCACAGCTGGGGCAACTGTCAAGTCTGATGACCTGAGCTGTCACCAGAGCCCAGAGGATTGCTCTTCCACCTCCACAAATGCCATGGAGCAGACGCCAGAACACACACACACACACACACACACACACACACACACACACACACACACACACACACGAAAGAGAGAGAATTGGGATTGACGGGAAAGTGGATAGATAGGTAGATAGATATGATAATAGACAATAGATACAGATAGATGATAGACAGACAGAAAGACAGACAGATAGATGTAAAAACATATATGTTTGAAAAAAGAAATTACCAAACCTGATTAACAAAGAAATGGTAATTAAAACAATGCATAAAAGATTTTTAAAGGCCACAAGAATAGTTAGACCTGGGCCTTTGAACTTGCTTTAAAAAACTGTAGACAGCAGCACAGTATATCTATCAATAACATTTGTAAAGCTTTTGATTGTAAAATTATGCTCAGGGATTTTTTCTTGGTTTTTCCAGACAGGTTTTCTCTGTATTGTTTTGGAAGCTGTCCTGGAACTCACTCTGTAGACTAGTCGGGCTTTGAACTCATAGAGATCCTCCTGCCTCTGCCTCCCAAGTGCTGTGATTAAAGGTATGTGCCACCAATGCCCGGCTATGCTCAGGGATTTTATCTCAGAGAAAATTTTTAAAATACACAAAACTTTGTTTGTCGATGTTTATCAAATGCCACTTAAATTATAGAAAATGTGAGGTTAACTTAGATGTCTAATGGAGAAAGATGAGCAATACATATTTAAAATACAAAGTAGAATTCTTTGCAGACATCTAAAATGTGGTTTTGAAGAACATTTAATAGAAAACAAGTTAAATTAAGCAATAACCAAATTAGTGACTGAACTGTGGAGTTACAAATAACCGTTCTGTTTTTCCTTCCTTGCTTGTTGTTATGTGTTGAAACTTAGCTGGGGAGATAGAAGGAATAAAGAAGAGATTGGAGTAGGGGGAAAGGATAAAACAGATGCTTCCTTTCTACCACACTCTCTGGGGGATGTGATAGTGGTCCAGACAGGCCAGAGCATTTGAAGTTGGATAACTCATTTGTTCAGTGACATTCTGGGTGAGGTTTTGCTCTGGTTCTAACTTCTCTGCTCTTCAATGTTCCTTATAGGATGCAGATGAAAATTGCCAGACCAGCTTGCACACTCGGTTGCTGTGACGATCAGAAGCAATGCTGTATATGAAAGTGCTCATCAAACCGCAAAGTGCTCAACAAGTCCTGGAGAGTGTAATTATTGCCTTCGTTAGTGCGATCATTCTCTCTTGCTCCGTTATCCTCTGCTGGAGAGCTGCTTGTCGGGTGCTGAAGTGCACTCAGTGTTTCTACATACACAAAGAGAAGCACATTCTGCTGTCCAGACCTGTTTCAACAAATTTGCCATCAAGATATAACTGAGTGGACACCAAAGTACCCAGTGGTCATAGGAGGGGAGTATGTATGGTCATAAAAGAACAGAGCTGACAATGAGCAATCTGGATAGTGTGTAACTAGTGCACTGTGAGCTGTGTAACATCAGAGTTCCACCTGCCTGAGTTCCATTCATTCACTTGTGAATGGAGAGTCACTCCAGTTCTAATTGTGTTGGAGTCATTAGGGAGAATATGCCTGGTGTTCGATATAGTATGGCTACTAACACACACAAATGGAGATAAGATGGAGAGTGCTGTGTGATATTGGTCATTATATATAAACAGCAAACCCTACAGAACACAGGTCCACTCCAAGATAACATGTAATATAGGAGATACAAGCTGTATGAAAGATTTTCAGAATCACTTCTCAGTGATCTCATTATCTGCTCATGTATATGTTAATAGTTTTTTGAGAGAGGATATTTTATTTATATTAGAAACAATCTTATTTTATATATCAATCCCAGGACCTTCTCCCTCCCATCATCCCACAACCCCCACCATCCTCCATCCCATCCGCTTTCTGCTCCCCAGGGAGGGTGAGACCTTAATTGGGGGATCATCAAAGTCTGTCACATCACTTGGGGCAGGGCCTGGGCCCTCCCCCATGTGTCTAGGGGGGAATGGGCTCCCAATGTCCATTCATACACTAGTGATAAGTACTGCTCCACTACCAGAGGCCCCATAGACTGCCCAGGTCTCCTAACTGACACCCATGTTCAGAGGACTTGGATCTGTGTTATACTGGTTTCTGAGCTGTCAGTCTGGGGTTCATGAGCTCCCCCTTGTTCAGGTCAGTTGTTTCTGTGGTTTTTCCCAGCCTAGTCTTGACCCCTTTTCTCATTACCCTCCCTTTCTACAGCTGGATTCCAGGAATTCAGCTCAGTGCTTAGCAAAATCTTCACCAACCCCACATCTGTCAGAGGGCTGTTTCAAAAATACAGAAATAACTCAAAAAGCTAGTCACCAAAACACCAAACAATCCAATTAAAAAGTGGGATACAGAACTAAACAGAGAATTCTCAATAGAAGAATCTAAAATGGCTGAAAGACACATATGAAAGTGCTCAACATCAAGGAAATCCAAATCAAAACAACTCTGAGATACCATCTTACACCTATCAGAATGACTAAAATCAAAAACACCAATGACAGTTTATGCTGGAGAGGATGTGGATAAAAGGGAATACTTCCACTGCTGCTGGGAGTACAAACTTGTTCAATCACTTTGGAAATCAGTATGGTGGTTCCTCAGGAAAATTAGAAGCATTCTACCTCAAGATCCAGCAATTCTACTCTTAAGCATATAACCAAAAAATGCATATTAATACAACAAGGACATCTGTTCAACTATGTTCATAGCAGCATTAATTTTAATAGTATATGTTAATGTTTACAAGTAAATTTATGATGATGATGATGATGATGATGATGACTCTCTTGAAATAAGGTCTCTCTACATAGCCCTGTCTGTCCTGGAAATTACTATGTAGACCAGGCTGGCCTTGGACTCATTGATTTGCCTGTGTCTGCTTCCTAATTGGTGAGATTAAAGACTTTAAAAACACCTTTGATCATGAAACTCCATTTTATGGACCTTATGATCCTTGAAACCAGCAATGTCCATGTTACCTAATGTAAAGCTGACTGAATATGGTGGCTTACTTTTAACCTCACCTTTCTGCTACCCAGAACTCTTTAGCCCTTTCATCATAAAGAATTCATAGTTCATGGAAAATACACATCAATGAGACTTAGTCATCTGTGTGCATTACTGTCAGCATGCCTCACCATCCTGTCTCCTTTATTGTCATGGTTTAATTTTATTGGTTTATCCATCTCCATTTCTCTTTCTATTTGTTTCTCTATTGATTCGTTCATATGGTCACTCCCATTTAATGGATAGGAAAATTGAGTATCAAGAAGATAGTTATCTTGCCTCAAGTCAAGGAAAGCTTAGATTCAAGGCTGTCTGTCTTTTCATGGGATAAGGCTTACACCAGATCCATTGTTTGAAGCTCAAAGTAAAATAGAAGAGAACAAACGGGACCATGTGAAGGAGCAGGAGGTAGGTTAGTCTGGAACTCTGCCTGGCACCGATTATGTTCATCCATATATCACCTGCACTATCATTTTCCTCTGAATAAAATTACCTAGACACTTTCACAGATTTGTATGGACCCTTACTTTAATTCTTAGGTAAGAGGCCAAGAACCAGAATACATCTGACCCAGACCCAGATCACCAGTAACTCAAGGGCTTCTGATAGTCCTAAGGAACGTATGAGGCTCTAGGTGAGAAGAGGGGATTGTGGAGTTCACTAATCACATGTGTCACAGTTGGGCCTGGGACCAGTGTTCCTCATTCTGGTGAGCTAGAATAACAGACAGTCAACTTTGACACCAAAAAAAAACAAAACAAAACAAAACAAAAAAAAAACTAAGTTTCATCCAAGGATCACAGGTTTATTAGTTACAAACCATCATTAAACCTCAATTTGCAGAAATGGTGATTATGATGTTTTTTTTTATTGTGAAATAAATTAGACCAAGAAATGTCTAGGGGTTTAGTGAGACCTACCTATGGGTGTGTCTGTGATAAAAAACTGGAATCAAACTAGTTGTCCATCAACAGATGAATAGAAAATAAAAACTTGGTTTTATGTATATGAATACTACTCAGCTCTAAATAAACATGTTTAAAAATAGGAGACAAATGGGTAGACTTAGAATGTGTAATATTAAGTAAGGTTACACAGTGTCAGAAATAAACCACATATTCTCATATGTGAAACCTAACCATTAATTTATGTATATGGGCAAATATATACATATATTAGATAATATGTATTATATATAAATAATAGATATGCGGGAACAATATAGCATGAAGTAAAAGAACAAGAAAGGCTTTTAAATATTAACAGATGTGGAAGAACTGAATACAAGTAATGGGTATAATTGTTCTAGTTATAATTCGGTCAGGGTTTTTTTTTTTTTTTGTCTTGGTGGCCTATTACATAAAACTTACTCAAAACTGAAAGTCTCAAAATTAATGTAAAGCCTCACAGCCTCTATTTTTAATGCCAATTCTAACTCTATAGAAGTTCATTAACTTATATAGACTTTGGGTCTGGTTGATTTTGTTGTGCAATGTTTTGATTTATTTGCAACTATTTTAATAATAAGGTTTTGGGGTTTGGTTGGGTGATCCACAAGGGATTAGTGAGACTTACTTCAGGGTATGTTGGTGATGAAGTCTCGAGGGACAATTAGACTATGAGAGCTTTGACCTAATTGTCAAGAGGTTGTTCCTTGGCAGATCTATAACGATGGTATGATGGGTAGGTGTGGCCTGTTCAAGGAAGCAGGCCACTGAAGGCAGGTCAGTAGGGCTTCTATCTTGTCCTGGCCGCTTCCTACATTTCCTTTACCTGTGCTTCCTATCAGCCAAGGAGCTCCACCCTACAGTCCCACTGCCTCAGTGTTCTGTCCTCCCAAGTTCACAAGAACAAACAACCATGGACTAACTTCGGGAACTGTGAGACAGAGTAAATAGCTCCTGCATGTAACTTGTATCTGTCTATTACTTTTATCAGAAGGACAAGAAAGCTAACTGTTACAGTGATAATAACATCTGTTTGTCAGAAAGCTCTGAGAAAGCAAAGAGCCACTGTGTATAAAGCCCACAACAGTGGTCCTGGATAGATGGCCTTAATCCCTTTCTTCCCAATCTAACATGATTTGGATGAGAAGTTTGTGAGAGAGCAGATTAATGAACTCTGAGAACAGAAAAGCATGAATGTGAAATAATTTTACTATTGCTATGAATACTAATAACAGCAGCAGCAGCAGCAGCAGCAGCAGGAAAAACTACCATGATCACAGCCGCTTATGTTTCCTGATGCAGTCTGTCCTCCAATCTAGTTTTCATTTGTTAACTGATGCTACATCAGAGGCTTCCCTTCTGTAGCCTTATAAAGCCCTGCATACATTTGACTTTACCCTTTGTTCATTAATAAAGAATGAAGTATTCCTCATTAAAGTTTGTTCTGCCCTTCAAAGGACACTGGGTACAAGAAGTGTATTTTAGCTGAGGCCACGTGTAGCAGGAAAGCTTGACTAATTACATTACTAATTACTTGAAGCATCTTCTATTTGACAGCATAAGCATGCCAGAGAGAGGTGAGATATCTCAATTACTTAAGAAAAATAGCCTAAGACCCAGCCTGCTTTTTCTCTTTCAATTATGTAGCCCCTTTTCTAAAACGTTTTCTCAAATCATGGGTCACTTACTGAAAAAATGAGCCACAACCATGTATTAAATCCTGACAGGCCCTGTGATATCTTTAAGGACAGTTATTTGGGTGAAACAATGGGGTATTATCAAAGTATGTAGAACATCAAAATATGTACTTGAGCTTTGTATTATCCTTGGTTAAAGCTCAAGTCTCATTGGCATGTGACTTCCAGCAGTAACTTTAGGAGTGTCCTCGAAGGATCTGGAATGTGAAAGGAAATATTCATTCTTTCTTATGGACAGGCCTGGGACATACCACATTTGGAATGTAAGTCATTTCTGATGTACAAGATTCATCAGATTGCAGGATGCAAAGCTGACGCTGAAGTGAAAAGACTTTTTTAAAAAATCAAGTAAAAGAGGAACAAAGGGATGGAATCTTCACACCAAGCCATTGGAAAGCTGATAGTGAATATCCCTGATGGTTCCCCTCATCTTGGTAGAACCACACCTTTCCACGGGGAAAAATAACCTGCCTAAGAGGTAGACTGAGTTTGTGCTCAGGGAAGGTCAACAGACAGCATGAGCATCCCTGGAGCTTTATTAGAATTGCAGACTCTCAGCTTTCCCCTGAACCCAGAACACTGTAAAGTGATGTCTATATACTCAGGTGCACAGGAAAGTTTAGCAGCTTTTGAATATCCTATACACCTTTGCATTTTTCTCAAAAGCAACTCAAGTCCACAGAACCACTGACAGACTCAACATCTGTTCCAAAATATTCACCAAAGTTACCTTTACTAGCCCAATCTCAAAGTGCTGGCAGGCACATATCTATAGAAACTTCTACCAGATAAAATCACAGGCAGATATGGCAAATATGTGTAATCTTTTATTGGTTGGTGCTATCTACCTGGTATATTGATTAAATAAATGATCATTAAACAGCAGTTAGGCAGGATTATATTATGAGTTCAAGGTCAACCTGGGCTTTGTATGATACATGATAAAGAAAAAAGAAAGAAAGAAGAGAGGAGGAAAGAGGGAGGAAGGAGGAGGAAAGGAAGGAAGGAAAGAAGGAAAGAAGGGAAAGGAAATGAAGGAACAAACCAATAAGAAGTAGAGACATCATCAGTTAGTGATGATTACCACACAAATGTGCTCAGCTGTATCATAATGAGTTTAGAAGAGAATTTGGTGGCAGGGGGCTTATAATGAAATCCTGAAGAATCAACTGACCTGGATTGCAGATGCTATTCTCACCTTGAGACCTCAGGTTTTCATGTTTAAGATGAGAACACTGAGCTCCAACCACAGGCCATTCCGACCCGATGTTCCTTCATCTCATCAATCCATGATCCTTTGTGCGTTCCACCCTACCGCACACATCTGTGCTCCCACAAAAAACATTTTTTCAGCAACCTCAGCTTCACTTAGAGCACCACCCTCCTCTCCACAGTCTGGTGGTGCCTGCAGGGGTAGAGAGAAGGAAAGGGTAGGGTTGGGGATGTCAGGAGGAGAACCTGCCAAGCACACTGGCCTGAAGCAGGGTCCCGACTCTCCACCTCCACCAGGCATCTGTTTCCAATGAAGCTGAGGAAATTCCTCACCCTACTCCTGTGTTCTCTCATGGCTGTCTTAATCTTGCCTCCCCTCTACAGGCTCTGAGTCAAGCCAAAAATCCCCATGTTTTCAGAGGCCAGAAAGCAGAACAAGGCCTGGCGCCCTGACTCCCCTGGTGGTGGCTAGCTGCCAATTCTCATTCTCTTGGGCTATTTAAAAGCTCTTGATAAGAAAGTCCATGGCTAGGCATTTGAAGCTTGTCACCAAGCCTCTGAGCATGGCTGTGTGGAGAGGAGAGTTCTGAACAAAACCAGACTTTAATGACGTGGTTTCTCTAGAGACAGCTGCTCACTCATGCTCAAAACTTGTGTCACTGCTGACAACAGAGATGTTAAATATATCAAGAAAGTAATAAGCAAAAGGTGACATTTCTCAAGTTCAGACAACGTAATTCCCTGGGAGGCATTTGACCATGTCTAGAAATACTTTTGGTTGTCTCAAATAGAGAGAAAGTTGCTGCTGTCATCTAGTAGGTAGAAGCTAAGAAGGCTGATAAAAATCCTGCAGTGTATGTAAACCCCTCCACAATAATCAAGGATCTGGCTCACAAGTCAGCAAATTGAAAAAAATTAAGAAACAGCACCCAACAACACTGCCCTCAGCTCACCCTCCCACCTGACATCCATAGAAAACTGAACTTTTTCCTTATCACACCCATACCCCTGTTTTATAGACTAGAGAACCTTGGTACAGATAGGAAGAAGTGTTTCAGAAGCACAGTGAGCTGGTAGAAGAGCTAATGGAGGAATCATTCATCCGAATACTCAAAGGCAGCCAAAGGAAAACAAAAGCTGACTTGTAGGAGGAAGGTGGAATGAAGGAATGGAATATGAGACTGGTGAGCTTCAGGATACAGTCACCGCACCCACAGTAAAGCAAGTTTCAGAGATTAGCAACACCTTCAACATGAGTGATAACTTCAAAAGGAAAATAGAAAAGCATGGAGGGGAAGAGCTGAAGAGGTTGCTCCCACCTAGGCTTACACTGACTCAGTTTAGAAACAGAATACAAGCAGAATTTCATTTGGTTTTATTTTGGGTTTTGGGGTGGTTATTTGTTTGTTTTCTTTTTTTGTTGGAATTATTTCCAGAAAAACTATCCAAATTACTCTGGAGAGTAGATCCTGAGTCAACTTTCATATGCTCCCAAGCACATCCTTTGCTGGGCCCAAAGAGAAAGGTCTTTGCCATTTGTTGCCTCTAGTAGAGAACTAGCCTGTATTTCTGACACTAATTCAGGAAAGTGGACTAAAGTCTGAAAGTTGGATTATGTGGCTTTGGGTCTTGCTCGATTCATTCAAACATCATAGTGACCCACTGTGGTAGCAGTAGTAGGTAGGTTCTGAGGTTCATGAAGAAAACGGAAGTATTTTTCAGGAACCTCTTCTCTAGGATCTCTTTTTGGATAGTTCTGACCCTGCTACCTCATGTATTCCAAGGAGTTCCTTTTGTCACAGCCACACTTTGACTTACAGACAAAAAATGCACTTGTAATGTCCACCTCTAACTAGCCAAATGCTATCAATGTTAGGCTTCATTTTGGAGTGCCATTGTTGAAATACAAAGCTTCTAAATCTTCCCTATAGATCTACTGGTCAGCAAACCATCCCCCCTCATCATTAGCATTCCCAATGCACAAAAGCAAAGTCAGACCCAAATATTTATTCTTATTTTAAAAATAATCTACCCCTTTTTAGAATATTATACATAGAAGAATGTAAAGTTCACCTTTAAAAAACTCACTAAAAATGATCTTCACCTAATAGAAGTCAATATGCTTCTCTGATCTTTTGCGTACATTCATATCTATATGTATCACTCTATAGCATATGCAAATACATACACTTTAAATTTTCTCTATTTTCTAAGCAATTCCATCATCTGCTATTTTAACAAATTATGGATTATAATCTTATTCTTTTATAATCATTTATATGTCATTGCTACATGACATCATAGTGATTTACCATAATTCATATCTTGTAGTTAGATGACATTTTCTCTTTATGATATCACAAATAACTGCATGAAATATTCTTACTGTATGCTTTTGAATCTTTCCATAGCTTCACAGAGTGAATTCTATCAAGAGAAATAAGAATTTATGATTTTTTAGACAACTCTTCATATGAAAGTACTTTTTTCAAAAATTTGGAACTCCAGTTTCAGACTTTCAGATATACAAATACCCATTTTAAAATAAGTGAAATAATTCCTTTTACTCAAATTTTGAGAAATTGAGAGCTAATCTAATCAGCACCCTTCTTACTCCCACTTGGTTCTATACCAGCAGTTCAAAAAGTGACCCCCAGTATCCAGTCTTTGGCCAAATAGGATGAAGGTAAAACAAGATTCACAGATGTATGTGGGACTTACATCCAGCAATGTTAGACTAGTGATTAGGTCATTACAATACACATTTGCTCCCTTCTGTTTCTATCAGATAGGAATTCCTCACAGAAAGAGTTCATTGAAATTCCAATTCAGAAAAACCTAAAGATAAGTAAAATGTCTGCCACAGATTATGTATACATTTTATGGGTGAGGAATTTGACATCAACATGTAAACCAATTCCTCAATTAAAGATGCATAGTAAAGGTAGTTCTAAGGTCCCAGTGACAATTTGCTGAACAAAATAAGAGTTACCACCTCCAGTGTGTACTCTAATGTCAGCTTAATATTAAATCCATTATCTCAGTGAAAGAAAATAAAGTTAAATAAAAATATGTTTTAGGGGAAAATAATTTAAAATAAAGTGAAAATATATACAGGAGAGTGGCTAGTGGTAACTTAAGGTAACCAGCCAAAAAGATGACATTTCCACGCTGGTTTCCAATGCATATTTCTGGGAACAAATTAGGCTGCACATGGAAATAAAAGTGTGTGCCATTCCATAGCCTAGAAAACAGACGGTGAGAGGCAAGTTGGTTCATTTGAAAAATAGAGTATATTATTTAGAACTGCTTGATGGTGAACAAACCATCCTTCCCCACATGTCTGGCTATGGCTTCTGTCTACACCGAGTGCCAAGGACATTTAATGTGTGATATTTGATTTGCTGAGTGCAAAGCTCAGATGGGGCCTTCAAGATCCATCTGTACTCTCATAGCTTTTCAAAGAGCAGCAAGGTTACTAACATCTAAGCAGGTTTTATTAGGATGATCTGGCCTTGAGACTGTAAGGGCTCAAGCCAATGAAGAACATGAGTACCTGGTAGATTTTGGCTGGGACTTGAAACACGTTAAAATCACATTCCTCAATCTATGAACGTCTGTGTTCATCTCTTTCAGTCTTCTCAATTCTGGTCTGAACTGTGGTGTGGCACACTCTATGTGTGTCTCCTTTCATAGGAACATCAAAGACATTGACAAAATAAGACCTGCTTTCTGATTGCACTGGGAATTTTTTGTCAACTTGCCAATCACCAGGAAAAAGAGATCCTCAATTGAAGAACTGCTTCTATCAAGTGAGTAAGTGTGTCTGTGGGGGCATTTTCCTGATTAATGACTGATGAAGAAGGGCCTGCAAACTGGCTATGCCACTACACCTGGACAGTTGGTCCTGGTTCTGTGAGAAAACAGGCTGAGCAAGTTATTAAATGTAAGCCAGTAAGCAATTTTCCTCCGTGGTCTCTGCATCAGTTCCTGCCTCCAGGTTCCTGCCTGGAATCACTATATGGGCTTCCCATCAGATTCCTGTAAGCAAAAACAAATGCTTTCTCCCTAAGTTGCTTTGCTCAATGTTTTATCACAGAAAAAAAAGCTATGACACTCACTAAGCATCATTTTCTACAGGCTGAGTGATAAAGCTCTGCAGAAGAGCTTTAAAAACCAGTGATACATATAATGTAGTGAGCAGTATTCTGACCTTGGCACATTGTAACACAAAGAATACATCATAGGCCATGAATACAGGAACTTGAAACTTTAGGAAAGGTTTGATGAGCAATATCTTCAGTTTTTTTTATTATTCTTTAACCCTATGGCATTTCCCTTACTTGGGCTTTTAAATCTCTTACTAGTCCGACTATAAGAGTCTGCAAGTGACTGGGTATGCCAGCACATGTTTGTAATCTCAGCACTAGGAAGATGGAGGCAGGAGGATCAAGGCTTTAAGATCAGCTTGGGATGTGTAGGACTATGTGATATCTACCTCAAGGATAAATGAATGAAGAAGAGAGGACTGCGGCTGTCTCGGGAATGACTGAGTCAATGTGACGTACTTAAACAGGATGAACATGAGGCAAACATTGGATAAACTGTACTGAAAGAGCTCAGAATCCAACCTGATGAGAACATGTAGATTTAGTGAGTATCAGAATGCTGCTACCTTCCTCTGATGTCAGGGACAGGGGGATGTGGTGGCATTATTGGAGTCCAGAATCTAGAACCATCTGGTTGGAGAAAAAAATCAATCAGATACATTTTGCAATGTTAAGGTATGTGGAAGAAATAATAAAGGAAGGAGAAAAATCAGGGGAGAGGGGAGTAGAGGGAGAAAAAGTGGGAGGGAGGGAGAGATAAATACCCTACTTCTCCCTGAAGCTGGAGAGCAAATATTAGAAGAAATTCAAAAAATTCAACCCAATTCCTAATAGTTTCATGACCCCTTTTTGGCCCTTGTGTTACCCAAATTATAGGTCTGAGACTGTTGTTTTCTGCTTTATAGTCTTCTGTGACACTCATTAGTGTGGGAAAGATGCTCACCTCCAGCACAGCACAGAAAGTTCATCTCTGTCTCCATGGGTTTAAACCATATCTAAGCTCCTAATAGGATTCCCCTTCTGAAAAGGCCCATTTGTTGGCCATAGGGTAGAGGTGGTGTTATCTAGCTGTACAGACTGATCTGTGACCAAGAATACTGTCAGTGGAGGCCCTCCAGATAGAAGAGGGCCAA